ATAATGAAACTTTTAAGCAGTATTGATAGCAGACAGGGAAATTTCTCAGTTTTCTTTTAGCTGATCTCTTCTTCATGGGTTATCACAGGGTAATTTTATTTATTTATTTATTTTTGTGCCAGGTGCCATTCCCAATGAAACCTGGGCTTGAACGTGCAGACCATCAAGCGATCGCAAGACAATTTTTTTCCAAACCTGTTTCTCTACAAAGTTCATTCTACAAATGAAGATTGTGCTTGTGGATATCTGGTGCTGAAAGCCTAATACACACAAATGAAAAAAAAGACATCTTGCCCTTAGATGAGCAATATAAACATTTAAAATGATGACTAAATTGGACATGTGGCTTTCTAGACAGCTAAAGTATTAATTTCCACCATTAGGAAGCAAGTTAGAAATATCCATTTAGAAAATAATAAGTAAAATCTAAATCCAACAAAGAAGCAAAGCCTAAATGAATACAATCCAGGTTCAAGCCACTCGTTACTTTTTATTTGGAGACTCAAGAGTTAACGTAACCTTAGTGTTTTCTTTGAAATAAGTAAAAAATGTCAAGGGGACAAGTTTCATGTTGCAATAATTTGAATAAAATTATGTCCTTTTATATTTTATAATTGCTGATATTCTTATATTTGATGTTGGCAAAATTTTAAAGACCCCATTACAACTTATTACAGTTACAACACACTAACCCCAGTTCCTCCAAAACAACCATTTACAACACAACTACAACTTTTTTTTTCTGTTTTAATGTAGTAAAACGTGTTTATGTTCACATTCTGATGCATCATTTGTTCCATTCACATTTCAAGTGTTTACTCCAACATCTGATGAACACAGTGGCTCACAAACTACAGAGAAAACTCCTGGAAGACGTGCTGTTGCAGCACAGCGACTAACCACAACTCATTTTTAAACTCCTAATCTGCACAGAACAAATCCTGGAAACTAGTGTATAAAACACAACAATTTAACACAGATATTCTCATCATCGTTTTTGTGCAGAAATGAAGTGCATTGCTAAAGGAAAATAAAGATGTAGCTTGTGTTTATTCCACAATCGAATAAACATGGTTGTTTAAGCATTGCAAATATCCATTTTTTTAATGTTCTGAGTATTAAAAAGGACATGGAACCACTTTCTAACTCTCCAAAGTTCTTAAAGGTAAAAGAATAAAAGGGTTTTTTTATATTAGCGTCCCATGGTTGGCATGGTAACTGCTGGGCTTGTTAGCGTAGCATCCTCAGCTTTCCACTGYGACGTGACAGTCTTGATCTGAGTGTAGAACTGAATGCCCTGATGGTGAACAGACAGCAGGTTTGTCAGTTTGTATATTTTAACAGGAAACGTTTCAGTCCAGCCAGGTCAGCATCTTACCTGCTTGCCATAGAAGTTGGTATCTCCTCTGAAGGATCCTCTGGATCCGGTGAAAGAGAACATGGGKAGGGGGACGGGGATGGGTACATTCACACCAACCTGCAGAAGAAAAATCAAAACTAGTGTTTAAAATGATAGAAATCTAAATATAACTYGAATTTGGCTGACTGATGGAGGAAAGATCAATGCTGATTCACACCAGCCCTGTTTAGTCCGCTTTAATCGAACTCTAGTTCGTTTGGGGAGGAGTTAATGTTTAATCAAACTCTGATGCGGAYCAAATAATTGAACTCCAGTCCGTCTACAAACCTTACGGTAGGTCTGGGCTCGGCTGAAGTGAACTCTGGTACGGTTTGAATGCAYGTGTGAACGCCAAGCAGACCRGAGATCWCTCCAAAAGCTGGAAGCGGACTATAACGCAGGACAGTAATAATAGGACTAAAGTTACTTATATACCTTTCTCAACATTTGTATAAAGTGGACATCCCTGCTATGAAGTCGGATGCCCTCCTATTAGGGCTGGGCGGTATGACCTCAAATTCATATCACGGCATAAATTGAACCCCTTCACGGTAACGGTATATATCGCGGTAGAAAATTATCATAGAACGTTAAGATAATGTAATTTTTAGAGCATTTTTTTTTTTTGCTGAAAACTGTAATCTGAATTAAACCCAACATTTTTGCTTTAATATCTGCCTGCCAAACAATGAGCTTCTGCCTGCTGAACTTATCAGCTGCTGCTCTGCTGCGCGCTCATCTTCATCATCAGAGCAGAAGCCAACTTTACATTAGCAAGAGGGATTTCTGACTGAACGTCCACGTTTTTTTTTTTTTAATAATCTCTGTGGGTAACAATACATAAAAATCATTTTTTTCTCTGACAATTGGGTGTGAAAAACTACAGTTATTAAAGTTTCACTCTGAGYGACGTGCAGCGGGAGGGAGGAAATGATCCAGCGACACGACGTAACTTTTCTACAGTGGGAGGAGGAAATTTTGAGGATTTATTCTCTCTATACGCTTTTTAAAACGCTAGAATTTCTTCATTATATTTCAAACTCCTGCTCAGTTGTCTCTGCACTCGCAGCCATGCTGACACAGGTGCGATGACGTAATGACGATAGGACGGTAGAGGGTAAATTTCTACCGTAGGCCAACTTCATACCGTTTCTAACGTCTACCACATATACCGCGCAGCCCTACCTCCTTATCAGTTGTAAGTAGACTTGTGGTGAGTGGGGATGGATAAAGAACTCATACGAGTGGGGGTCTCTTAAGTGGGCTCACTGCTCTCCTAAAACAGACACCGAGCTTCAATCAAACCTTTGCATCCCTCAGGTGAGGTTAGAAACACTCAGAAGCTTCATGGGATCCATAAAAGGGTCCCCAAGAATTATTTTCCTTTGACTGCTCAGAGCCTAATTAACGCAAAGAGGTCTCTAATTCAATGCCACAGGTTTCATACAGATCTTTGTCATGGAGTCCCATCATCATTTTGAGGTGGCTGAGCAGGAGTTAGTCTCAGAAATGGATTGCTACAATCAGATGTGCAATATCAAAGTTATCAAAAGTGTTCTTATTCATCACAGGTGTGTCTGTGTTCAGCACCAGGGACAGCACATTGAACACGTCAAACAGTTATGATTTACAGTTCCCAGTTGTTGTTGCAACTTTGTGTTAACGCTTGAACCAAAAGAGATATTATAAATCTGATTGTGGCAATCCATTTCTGAGACAATTCTAGTGTTCTTCAATATGTCACATAACCATCTTCCCAATACAAAAACTTGCCCTTGATCCCATATGGCAGCCTTCAAGATGGCGGCCATGTTCTGGACATGACCTAAATAAAGGCTGCGATCAAAACGGCAGGACGGGTCCTCCGAAGGCCGAATTCATCGGCCGCATACGTCACAGCGCCGCGACGAAGGACGTCCAAAACCGAAGACTCCTCCGATGCGGCCGACAAATACGTCCTTCCTTTGGCCTGAATCGAAGGACAGGTCCGATGGATCCTTCCCGGCCCAGCATATCCCATAATGCATTGCGGCCCGACCGGAGATTTTTTTATGCTAGTAATGGTGGACGAAGCGAGAGAAAAGAATACATTTTAAATAAAAATATGGTGATATAAAAATTTAAAAAAAATTAGCGGTTGTAATTCTAATACTTTTATCATTTGTATGGACATGTTGTTAAATATTATTTTTTCGTCATAAAAAACGCGAAATAAACATGCACTTACAGCGGGTTAATTAGTTCTTCAAATGATACCTTTAAGTTAATTTTATAGTTTTGTGATATTAATAATGCTAATGTATTGATAATTTTCTAGTTTTGATTTAAGTTTGCTTGTTTAGCGTCGTCACAGTTGCTAGGTGACAAGACGTACGCCGGGGTGGAGGGGAGGCTAGACCGTCCAAATTCACAGCCTCTTTTTTTCCGGTCTTCCCGGTCTACCAAGGACCCGGCCCGCCGCGACCGGGGAGTCTGGGTCCTCCGGAGGACCCGGCCTGTCGTTTTGGACACAGCCAAAGATTCCCTCACCCACGACTTGCTGGAGTATTCAAATATTAAAATTTCCCTTTTGTTTCTGAAATAAAAAGGGTGTCCTGATACTTTTGACTCACCGTTTATCTCAAATTATTAGCACGATTTTATCTGCAGGGCAGAGAAAGCCTTAAAAATTCTCTTAAAAGACTTTTCCTGCAAAAAGAACACTGTCAGCCTGTTCATGCAGGAACTGCAATGCAATGAATTTCAACACATGCCACCTATAGTGAGCCTGTCAACAAGTACATGTGCCATGTCTCCAAGGCAACCCACAAAGTAAGCATGCTGTAACAGTGACAGAAATAGAGTGTTTCAGTCTAACCTTGATATATTTATACCTCCAATGAAATTGTTTTAGTGCCTGAATTCACTAGGAAACCATTTGTTACCTTTTGAATTCATTTTTATTCGTTTTAATTAAATACTGACATCATTAGATTAATAATTTTTATCAGAGTAGTTAAATCGAACAAAGTGCTGCAAAGGTTTTAAAGTTTGAACATTATTGTTTCTTTTTTGTTTTTATTGACCTTAACTGAAAGTAATCTCATAACTCATGTTTATGATGTTATGACAAGAGAACAACCCGTTTCCTCCCTTTAAACATTTTCTTTACTACCGGGGAGGTTTTGATTGTTATAGGTCTGCTGCTCAGCTTAGTTCTGTTCAGATATGCTGTTCAGCTGCATCTTCATCACTCTGAGAGGTTTGTATGGCAATCCAACCACCTASATAAAATGTATAAATGATTTAGTTTATGCCATTAATAAAGCTAATTGGTTGGGAGGAAAAAAAGAGGAATCAGCTGAGACCTTTCAGACTGCTAATAATATTAATAATACTGTGTGTTATTCCAGATTAAATGTCCGTTCTAATGTGACTGTTAGTCAGGCCGGCTCATGATGCATTTTTTGACCGATTTGACTTTTTACTCCGGAGCGACTTATAGTTCAGAAAATATGGTACCTCTGACCCWGGGGCGGTTCTAGAGGCATTGGCCCCAGCTAAAATTTGATTGGTCCCCTGAAGTGCCCATGTCCTGTCATTCATCTGTCCTTTGCCCAAGAGTGACGATGCTGGGTGCAGTTCTATGTCTAAACACTAGGGGCACTAATGAGCCAAATAGAAACGTCCAGCATGAATCAAGCTGACAGAAGTCTTTCTTTTCTTAAAATTTGAACAATGCTGCAGAAAAACTCATTCAACTCACAAATGATGGCTGGATTCTCTCACTCACTGTGCGTTTGAGAGGATTTTATCTATGTACTGTAAAATGCATGTAAAATTGGTAAGGAGAATTTAATGCAAGCTGTTTTAAAATTACAACAGTTTAAAATGGTGAATAGTAAAATACACATAATATATAAGACCATACCAAAAACAGTGATTTGTGTGCAAGGATGCTGAACAATTACTTGGCCCCTCTATGAATATTGTGGCCCCTTGATGGTCCCTTACTCAGAAAAATCTTAGATCCGCCACTGCTCTGACCTGCAGCTTTTTAGATTTGACCTTGGTGCCACGATACATAAACAGAACCCCACCTGGCCGACGTCCACCTCGTGTGTGTATTTGCGAGCTGTGGCTCCGTTGGTRGTAAAGATAGCCGTGCCGTTGCCGTACGGGTTTCTGTTGATTAACGAGATGGCTTCATCTAAAGTGTCAACTTCCAGGACGACGAGCACGGGTCCAAAGATCTCCTCCTTGTAGCATTTCATGTTGGGCTGGGAAAGAACAGAGGAAGGATCAAACCATGGCTTTCTACTGAAAAACAAGCAGGRGATTAAAACAACATCAACAATTCCTTTTAACAAAACCATGCTGGTGTGTTAACCTTTTATAAAGAGAGGAAAAATGTTTAGACACATTTTGTAACACTTCCAACTGTTTTCTATTTTAAGCTGCCTAACACTCAACAYTCAAACAGGAGAGAGGTGGTTAGATGGTTTTATTAGACTGAAAATTACAGCTACAGACAGAAAATAACTGATCTAAAACTTACTGCTTTGTTGTTTTAGCCTGTCTATATGTATTTTTTATTACATTAGCAAAAAATCTTCTTAACCATTGGACAGATTTTATTAAAACTCTCTGATCATGATCACTACACGCACTTTTACAACTGAACAACGTCTGAAGTTAATCTAATTCAACATGGCTGCCACAAGTAAGCAACTTATCCCAACTCATATTATGGCGCTAACTGATCAAATAATCTGTTTCTAAAACTTTGCCAATAAGTTTTGGAGAGCACTTTATTTGTTAAGGCCCTGTCCCACGATCACATTTTAGACAACTTATGACAGATTATGAAAATTTTGTCCAGCACTGAAAATCTAGTGGAAGCCTCTTTTGGACGTATGCATACTGTAATGCTAATGATTTGATCAAATATATAACCTTTGAGTAATTTAGTCATAACAAAATTTTCACATTTTTATAGTGTGACAGGGCTGTTAGCAAAAAATGCCACAAGGGAGACAGATTAATTGTCTGTACATTTATAACTGATAACATTTTGGAATGACTCATGGCAACTAATCAACACTATCCAACACAAAACAATTATTTAACTTCGACAGATATTGAGCAAAAAATGTGATGTTGTAGTAGCTGAGAATTATCCTCAACACTGCGCACTAAAACATCTTAAGAGCCCTTGAAGTAACGAATGCTATCATATATAATGTAATTTGCAACGATTGATAATAATAATATTATTGGAGTTCAAAACTCTGGCATGAAAAATGTCAACCAACATATGCCTATGAGCACATGAGCAAGAAGAAATGTATGCAGACACAGTGAACCAAGARAAAAATACAGAATAATTTAAATTAGGACAAGATTCAACAAAGACACTGAACAGACTGGAAGATGAACTTCATCTGCAGAAACAAAATATTCCTCCTTTTAACCACGTTTCCATTTTCAGTCTCCCCCCTGGGACTTTAGGCTCAAGTAAGAAAATTGTTCTTTTCTTCTAAAATGAGACTTCTGCAGAGACACGTGAAATAGAGTGTGTCCATATTTCACCTTTTGTCTCGCCTGAGTTCAAATTCTCAGCTCACCGTAACGTTGCTCAAGATGGTGGGTCCTACAAAGTTCCCATTTTCATATCCTTTGACGTGAACTTTTCTCCCGTCGAGCAGCAGCTTAGCGCCTTCGTCCACTCCGCTCTGGATCAAAGACTCCACCTTGGCCTTGGCTTCAGGGGAGATCAGGGGACCCACATCAGATCCGGGCTGATCGCCTAAAGCAAAAAAAAAAAAAGATTTAACGGAGAGGTCGTTTTTCTGCTGCAACGTTTTATATTGAAATGTTTTAAAACTGATCATGTTTAGCAGTAGTTTTTATTCTCCGAAGTGTTACCTGCGTTAACGCGCAGCGATTTGGAGCGCTCCACCAGCTCTGTCAGCCATTTACGAGACTCCCCAACAAAAATAGCAGTGGAGAGAGCCATGCAGCGCTGGCCAGCTGCTCCAAAAGCAGCACCGACCAGCTGGTTGATCGTATTCTCTTTGTTGGCATCAGGCATCACCACACCGTGGTTCTTGGCTCCCTAAACACCATCATTTAGAACACGAGTTATCCTAGAACATAATTACTTTCATAATGTGCATTTGGTCTGTTAAGTGGASCAGCCTGAGGGATACCATGTTGGACTGGACTCTCTTTCCATTCTTAGAGCCCCGTTCATAGATGTACTCTCCTGCCTGGTTGGATCCCACAAAGCTGATGGCTTTGATGGCCGGATGGTCACAAATAAAGTTCACAGCTACACRAAAACACAAGGAACAAAATATTAGTTTTCAAAAAATTTAGCAGGTGAGTAGTGGTGGGCACAGTTCTGCTAATCTGATAATAGCAGAACTAGATTCTCATTTAGCGGATTAGCTTTTTTATGGAAGTTGGAAAACCGTTAGCGTACTGATTAGCTTCCTCTAAATTAACTTACGCTAATTTTAAAGGGGCAATATTATGTGTTTCTCAGGCATACATTTAAATACTATACCATAATAAAGTATCTATGTCACCTTTAGTTGTTATTAAAATGCTGTTTTTATGTTTAAATAGAAAATAAACGTATTTTCTCGTCACTTCCTCTTCTAAATGCCTTGAAATTGGCCTCTGTCTCTTTAAGAACCACCTTCTGCTTTTGTTTCGCCCATTTCAGTGTGGGGGGGAGGGGGGTGCTATGATGCAGTTTACTTGGCATCTGAAAAATACATTTCCTCAAAGTATTTTTAATCTGAAAAGAGCTTCACTGAGTGAGAACTAGTGTCAGGAACTCAGCCGACAGTTTCAGTTTAAGTTTCAGTTTCACCCGAGAGCCTGCAGGAGTTATGGGCGGGGTATGGGGGGTGGCTCTGCCATGAGGAAGTTCAGCTTAAAGACACATGCCAGGGGCGTTTCTGGTCCCCACCTGTTGTTTTGCTCCTCAGCATGGCTGCCTAAAAACGCTGCAGGATTTCTCAAACATGCATGAATGAGTCAAAGCAAGACTTTTGGGCAWGTTTTTTATGAGAGTATAACATTAGAACATGATATAAAACTCAAAAAASTTGCTTTTACGATATTGCCCCTTTAAGTTCACTAAAAAACTGACAAAGTGTAAAACTTCCATTTTTATGCTGTATATCACAAATTGAATAAAAACTATCCCCTCTTACAGGCAGTGCTGGACGTGAGTGCATGTAGCATTTTTAGCAGCTAAACGTCAACCTAAGAGGGTCAAAAAAGAATAAAATAACATTTAAAAATATTTAAATAAAAACAAAAACTGACTATATCAATTTGCTGTATGACTAACTTCAAATGGTATTTATAAAAATACAAACTCAATTAAAATATGCTTTTATTCTGAAATGGTTAAACTGGAAGACAGAGCTATAACTCTGGTTTGGATTGGATGATCCCATCCACCTTCAAAATAAACCAATAGAAAACCAACAATCTGTCCCACCGGTCTTCAATTGGAAGGAGAAGAAGACTTAGCAGTTAGCATTAGCTTCTGCCATGTTATTTTATTTTTACCCGTTTAGAGTGAGCGAAGCTAAGATTCTTGTTAGAAGGTTAGCTGTACCCACCACTGTTGATGATGAATAAAAGATAGTCTGGAAACATAAAGGTTTTTTTTTATGCATGTGTGGAGATTACTAAAAACTGGATGATCGTTTTCTGATTTTGACAAAACCCTGGGTCTAAAACATCTCAAGTTTTATGCCAGTTCTATCACCTTAATGTGTGGACTTTTTAAATCCTGTCATTTTTGCACCGACAGCTATGTGGATTGGGTTCTTGTGACACGGTATGTGTCCAACACAGTGTAGCAAAACAGATCATGTAACAAAAAACCCACAAGCCATGCTGAAACATGGATGTTCCTGGTAAATATCCTCTTTGATGCAAAAAAAAAAAAAAAAAAAAATCACAGCAGATAAAGCAATTTCTGTAAAAATATTTTGCTCTGATGACCCAGTTTTGACCGTTTATTGGACTTGTCCAGTCCGTCACATTTTCTTCTTTTTTTTCTCCTTTAAATTAAGAGAAAGACGACTGTCTAATGTGCTCTGATCGTTTAAAAAAAACTTTATTTTAAACTGAGATCACTGATACAGAAACTTAAATCCTGCTTCAAATCCCTCAGAACGACGTAAACTTGTTTTGTAAATTCCTACAAAGTGAAGAGAGTTATTTCTTGGCCTCCCTCCATTGATTATCACAAATGCGCACCACAAAACCATGAAAGAACGAGGGGGTTACACACTCACCTGCATGCTGTCCGTGGATAATATTGAGCGTACCATCTGGGGCCCCAGCATCCTGCAGCATTTTAGCCAGAAGCATGGTGCAGCCTGGAACGCGCTCAGAGGGCTTCATCAGGTACGTGTTGCCGCACACCATGGCGATGGGGAACATCCACAGGGGAATCATTGCGGGGAAGTTGAACGGGGCGATGCCGGCACAGACGCCGAGAGGGAGCCGGTAGGTGTGAGTGTCCATGTCCTTAGTGATGGAGGGTAAGGTTTCCCCGAGCATCAAGGATGTGATGCTGCAGGCGTGCTCGACCACCTCTGAAGAGTTGAGGGGCAGAAAAATGATCCGTTTGATCAATGAAACGTGCAAAGATAGAAAGATGAAATTAGCCTCCTTTGAAAGCCACTTTGTCAATTTGTTGGCTCTAATGAATGGACAAGAGTCTATTGGTTAATTTTTACATGTAGATAACTTTAAATCTGATTTTAAAACAGTCAGAATCAAAATATAACTTTAACTTTTATTGATATCCTTCCAGAGTCATCTCAAACATAAACAGGACAAAAATAAATAAATAAAAAACCAGAAGCTTTCCATTAATAAAAGTCTTGTCCCTGCCTACAACCTTTGCATATTCATTTGCAGATCTCTGTTTAAAGAGATTAACCCTGCCACCCCATCCCTAATTATATTCATCAGGCATAATGAAGGAGGCTCACCCGTGTGCATTAAAGCTTTGATAATAGTTTCTGTCTGCGATAAAACCAAGCTGTGACACGAGGGGTATGTATAAACCTAAGATAGGACTGTGTCCAATCACAAATCCAGAGAAAAATATTTAAAAAAGTACCTGCTAATGTAAACACAAGGGCTGAAACTAACRACTATTTTGATAGTCGACTAATCTGCGATTATTTTTTCAATTAGTCGACGATTATTTTTGTCACGACCATCTAAGCTTCCTGTGAGGTCACCGCCTGTTCCACCTCACCTGCTCATACCTGTGTCACCCTGTTATCCAGTGTGTCTGACAGAAAAAGTTCCAATAGCAAATTAAAATAATTCTTTATTATAATTCTTCATCTCTCTTTGACGTGATCGACCTGGTCCACCATTACTATTGCTTTTTGATTTGCCTGCAGCTTCTTCAAAAGTAGCTGAAAAAGCAGAAGCTAGCACAAAGACGCAGCAAGAGAATGTTTGCTGAAGTTGAAATTATAAAAAGGTCTATTTAGCAGAAATAAAGCTAACATTAAGCTGAAATTGGCTAAAAGGTGGCTAAAAAGGCAGAAAACAGCTGGAATAGCTAGAAAGCAACTTAAAGAAGTATAAACAAGATTAAATTAGCCAAAAGAAGTTAAAAGAAGCAGAAAACAGCAAAGAAATAGCTGAAAGGAGCAGAAAGATAGCGGAAAAGTAGAAAAAGAAGCTAAAAGAAGGTGAAATTAGCACAGAGAWGGAAAAAATTAGAACTTGTGAAAAGTACAGTAAAGATCTATAGGATGTTGAAGACCACTTCATTCATTTTAAATGAGAAAAAAATGGCAGAAAAGGTTGAATATATCAAAAATAATACACTGAAGTAACAAAAGTCTTAGCCAGAATGTGCTGAATGAGCTGAACGTTTTATTGTAGAAATAGCAAAAATATATATATATATATATAGCGAAGCAACTTGTGTGCCGAAAAACACACAGAGAAAAAAATAGATCATCTCTAAGTGGAGGCGCAGTCTGATGACATTTTCTGCCCTAAACATTTGTGGAGAAGCACCAAGGACAACTAACTTCACTGTCTGGATGGACAGGTGGGAACAATCTAGGGAACAAGGGTTTGACATTTCTCTGGGATGTCAAACTGGAGCGTAGACGAGGTTTTAACAAAGGGATGACCTTTACCTTTGACCCTGTGACAGTGAAATTATTCATGACCCTTGAAGGGTCCAGCTGTGCTCTTCAACACTTCTATGTTAAAGGAGTTATCAGCTTAGAGCTCAGGGCTACATACTYCTGCACCTACAGGCATGAAATCAACCCCAGCCACACAACTAGAAGTGTAGTATTTGCTTCACTTACGCAGTCCTCTAAATACATCTCCCTCTGCATCAGCCAGGGTCTTGCCTTGCTCCAAGGTGATTATTTTTGCCAGTTCTTTCTGAAATAAACCAAGAACAMACAGCAGAAAATCAGTTCTCCAGATAAGAGAGGGTTTACATTAAGTAGCACATATGATGCTTGTGAATTTCCCTACAATGTTATCCTTAATAAGCTGCTGGTACCGCAGGAAGATCTGCTGCCTGCTGAGGATGGAGGTCTCAGACCAGGACCGGAAAGCTCTAGAGCAGGAATCCACAGCCGCCAGCATCTCTCCCTGAGTGGCTTTGGGAACGCGTCCCACTACCTCATTGGTCGCCTGAAGAGAAGAGGATCCAAAAAAACAACAAAAACTGAAACAGTTCCAGTACTTTCTACCACAAGCAGGACATTATTTTAGCATAACAAAAAAATGTCATTTGCATCTTTGGGTTTTAATAAAATGAGAGCTGGATACTTTTTAATATTATAAACTCCTTAAAAGCCTAGCTAGAGTTTATTATCTGACAGGTTCTACAGCTCACTGAACTCTTTGAGAACCTCAATCACAACAGCCTTTGTAGGTTGAACTTTTTCCTCTCCCTTTACAAATTAGGCTCTTTGAAAACTGGCAATTATTTCCACACAGAAATGTTCCCAACCTGCTGTTACAAAACCACACATTTTTACAGCCAGCTTATGTGTGCAGGAGGAAATACTCACAGGGTTGTGAATGTCCAGCCATTCAGACGAGGTGGACTCAACAAACTTTCCATCAATAAATAGCTTGGTGGTGGGCTAGAAAATAATAGAAAAAAATAAATAATAATAAAAAAACAGGATTAATATTAACTTTCTGTCTAGCAACACGGTTACCAAGTTCACTGACATTTATTAACCAACAAGACAGGTGCAATGACTTTGCAGAGTTTTTCTTCGAATGCATGTAGTTTGGTTACTCGATGCAAATATTTGCTGTACAAGACATTTCCAGGCAAAGTCTAAACTGGTGAATGCATCTTTTCATGAAATATTAAGCTATAACTTGATTGTAATTATTTAAAGTGACTATAAACTTTTGCTTTAATAAATATTACAAGAAAATGTGCTTGGCAATAATTAGAAATATTGTGATAATAGCTTGTCCAGAAAGCTGCTCCAACTCATCAGAGCTGCAGAATCTAGTTGTTCCGTCATTAAGAGAGGACCATTCTGTCAGGTGCATTCCTATATATAAAATATAAAATCCCAAGATTGTTCTTAAAGTTTAATATTTTTTATTAAACCTATATTTAACCAGGCAAATCCCACTGAGAAAAAAAGTAAACTAAAAGTCTTTGAAGTTTAAGAAAATGTCACTTGACTAACAAAGACGTACAAAATTCCAACAAAATGTATCCTAATCAGAAACACTTCTCATTTTATTTTACTTAGTTTGATATGGTTTGAGYAGCAGGTTCCAGCTTCAGTGAGATCTTGACTCTGACTAAACTCAATTCATAGACATGTTTCACCACATATACATATAAAGTAATATTAAACCCAATAATTCAGATGTGACTTTGCTTCCTTTAATGTAAACATATGTTTAAAGCAAACAAAACAGCCACTTTTCCAAAAGCAAGTCTTTGTTTTCCACTTATTCTAAACATATCAAGTAAAAAACAACTGCAAAGTCATAAAAAACAGACAAGAAACTTATGAAGTAAGAAATAAAATTTGCACAGTAATGTTTATATTTCAAATCTTAATGTGTCTGTGAATGAAATGTTTTGGATTCTAAACAACCTTTAGTATATTTGTACTAATTGTAAAAGTCCTTTAACACAAGTGAAACCAAAGTTGTTATGACTACTTGTGAATATTTCATCTTGGCTGACAGATCAAAGACTCTTTGTTATGGCTGCTTCTGGGTTATTGGACAAATTTGATCATGGCGCCATAATAGTTGTATGGTTCTGCTTGTGTTTGTGCACACTTTGATCACGAGAGCCTTTGCTTCCTGGAGGCTGATTGGCTATTGGGTCTGAATCTGTACAATTCATGAGCCCCAAGGTTATAAAACCCCCCATGCTTTGTTTGGTCTGGGCCACGACTTCTGCAGGTTGTCTTAGCTCTACTGAACTTGTGACCTGTGTTAGAACATGTATCCCTGTCATTTATTTAWTTTATTTCTCTTTTAATCAATTGCCACAAACAACTGACTAGACTATTTTTTCAGAAGATACACTAAATTACAAATCTGTCATCAAAATTTGTGACAGTATATTATCTATCTATCTATCTATCTATCTATCTATCTATCTATCACCCACTACAGACTACATTGGTCAGTCAAGTGACTGGTTCCATACGTTTTCAGCAGATTCAGCTTCGTGCTTTGTTTACACTGAATGTGGACCTGCATTTCAGATTTGTTTATAACATATCGGGAAAACTTCTGGAGTCAATTATTTCAAAATGCACCAGTTAACATATCTCATAACCTTTGTGTTGGATTTCATACTTTGTAAAAACAACCTTTAATATCTTTAAGATCTTGAAAAACATGGTTATCTCATGGTTGTATTATGACAATGGACGTCAGTGAATCTTACCACCGAAGAGGAGTAACACATGCGACCCAGCTGGAAGAGAACCTGTCGGGGCAAAACACACCAAAAACTTACTCGCTAAAAAAAAACAAGAAAAAAAAACACAGTTTTATTGTTTGCATAAAGCGTATAATATTCTGAGCCTTGTCTGAATGCCATACAGTTTAAATGCAGGGTAAACCCTCGAAGAAAGGAGTGAACGAAGTCCAGCGTGTGACTTTGTCAACCACAACTAGCTTTACGTTCTTAGCCGCTTTAGCTGCATTAGCATCAACTAAATCTCAAAATGCAGTAAAAACAAACATGCGTTTTGCTTTACCTTCTTGTTTAACAGTGGACGGAACAGTAATGCTGCCATTATGGTTTATCAACGTGTTTGTATTGCTCCAAAAGCCCTTCTAACGAAGAACTTCAGCTCCGGACGGCTCCAAAAGGACAGGAGACAGGTCGGCTGCATGCAATGCTGCGCTTTTACACGATCTACAAAATCATCAGGAAGTCGCCAATACTTAAACACACTAGTGCAGATGGTTTGTAAGTCTGTGAAAATGACACGTGATGCATTTCGCTTTTTTCTCCTCTGTGTGGGCGGGACAAATGATTTTAACAGCCAATCACGATGCGCTATTCACAGGACGCCCCAAATTACGAGGAACTGATTGCGTCTTCTGTAGAAGATCTCAAATTTAGGTCTAACCCATTTATTTCTTTCCTAAAGTTAT